TCTCCCTTTCTCTCTGAAATCAATAAAAATATATTTTAAAAACACACATTGTCTGCCCTCAAGGAACTTTTAATCTGGTTGGGCAGAAAAGGGTACTTTATATAACATAACTATGAGAATGACAGAATTCCAAGGGAGAAAGAACTAAATTGCAGCTAGAGTTGTCAGGCATGGCACAGGGAGAAAGAAGATGAAAGGATTGATAGAATTTTGAAGGGGCAAAGGGGGGTGAACATTTCAGATGAGAGAATGGCAAGAATTCAGGGGCAAAGGCTAAAGGGGTACAGAGCAGTTTTGGTATAAAGTAATGCTTTAGCTATGTTAGTTAGAATAAGGGTTCTCTTCCTGCAGTCATGGGAGATAAGGTCAGAATGACACATTGAGGTCATATTATGAAAGCCTTGAATATAGGCTATGGAGTTTGTACTTTATCCTGTAAGTGCAAGAGTTTCATGGAAAGCTTTGAAGCAAAAAAAAAAAAAAGTGGTATTATCAAAGCATGCATTTAATAAGATAATTCTTGAAGTGATGCACAAAATCATCTTGAAGGGAGAAGAGCCTGAAGGCAGAATGCTTAGGTAAGAGACCATGACATTAGTTCAGGTGTGAGGTGGTAAGGACCAGCATTAGGTGGGAGTTAGGAAGGCAGGACAGACTAAATCTGTATGTGCCCTTTAAAAAAATAATAAAATAAAGCATTTAACATGTTGCTATAAACATATAATATAATAAGATTTCCAAAGCTAAATTTACTGGTAATCTTTATTGTTGAAGAGCAAACGTTAGTGGAATGACTATGTACGTATCCTATAAAAGACAGCTACATGAATTTTTATCTGCATGATGATTATAACCCATTTTTACTTCTGTTCCCTGAGTAATTTTCCAATTAAGACATTCCGTTGAGAGTTTAGTCTGGCGTATTTTCTTTCTTCTCATATTAAGAGCTGAGAAGTACAGGCAATCTTCCCCGAACGCATGTAGGTTCCGAGCCAGGCTTTCAGTTTAACCACTGCAGCTGTGTTGACTTTACAGTACATTATAACCTCTGTTTTCTCCTTTGTTAACTCTCTTCTCCTCTTACTCTTCATGAATCTTACCATCTTGGTTCCTCCTCTCCCCTCAGTAAGCATCACCAAATGATTTTTCAAAGAGGCAAAGGATGAGTACACTTACTAAGTGCCAATAGCTCTCCCTCCTGCCTCCCGCCTGTTTTTTCCCTGAGCTCCAATATGGCATTTCTACATCTTGCTTGTATTTTTGCCCAGCCTCTAAACAGATGGCCCTAGCTAGCATCTCTCTTATGTCCAACCTCCTACCTTATTCAATTGTGATCTTATTCAATTGCAACACCATCACCTATCTGGGAACTTTTCTGAAAGGTAGGCCAGGCAATGTGTGTTTTCACAAGCCCTCCAGGTGGTTTGGGCCCGTGAAAAGTTTGAGAACCTGCTGCTTTAGCGGATGACTGTACTCTTGTCTTTCTCTCCTAGGCCAGGGGTTCTCTAGCTCATGGTGTCTCTCACCCACTCAGTGTGCTCTGTTATCCAGGCAAATCCTTTATATACTATTTAGAGTAATCACAAATTCTTAAAGGAGCCTGTTTGGTGTAGTTAATTATTACCCCACCACAGTCAGTGAAGCATATATGGTACCCTACCGCCTGGCCACTGGCTGGTCCATGCTTGAGCCAGTCTTGGCATTCTGGCCAATACCAGGTCCTGTCAGGGGCCAGTGCTACTAAAAAGGAGACTAGCACTGCTTTCCCAAGTAGAGTGCAGCAGACAAACCAGAAGGAGGTTTGCTCCGACCAATAAATTAATCTTTACCGGAGTAGCTGTGTGCAACAGAGGAGTAATCAGAATTTTCTTAGTTGGGTAACCTGGACTTCAGAGTCTTTTAAGAAAGACAAAAAGCAACAATTATTGCTTGACACCATTGGACACAGTCAGAGGCAAGGCAGTCTACCTGTCCTGATATTTAAAAATGAAAAATGATTCAAGTTAGGATTGAGATGAAAGATCCTATCATCAGTGACATGGACGGGGACCCAATTTATGTTATACAGATGAAATTCCATCTATATCCTTAAAGGAAATGTGTTGTTTGGCATTTGCATTAGTGTGTAAAGATACTATCTCCTCCTCTCTTTAAAAACTAAGCATTTTATAAGTTCAAATGTAGTGACAACTTCAAAAATTGGTTTAAAAATCTCAAATTGCTTTGTTAAGAACAAGAATTAGCAGAGAGGGCATGAGTTTATTTGAAATCTCACTGAGGCAGAAAATAGATTGGGGGGTTTCTTAAGGTTCTGAATGGTGGCAAAATAATGAAAGAGACAGATATTCTTGCAAAATAGATGTGAGTTTCTAAGATTTATTCTATCATACCTTAAAAGTATGATAACTGCATCCAAGGCAGTCTTGTTCTACAGTGGACTTGGAAAAACAACAACAACAACAACAAAAAACAACAGAACAAATAATTATTTGGCCTTAATGTAGCATTCAGTTCCTATCAAAAACTTTTGACTTACTTGAAGAGTCAAGGTTAATTTATCTGAAGCCATAACGAAAGTACAAGATAATAGGCAGTTAAGTGCTAAATTACGTTATCCTTGACGTGCTTCTCTTTGTACATTCTTGGAAATCTCATCTCTCATGATGTTATCTAGTAACTATGTAGGTCAGTGTTTCTCAGTCTTGAGTAATGTAGAGATAGGCTGCTAAATTTTTTTTTCTTACACTCCCTCAGTATGGAATGAAAGAATTTTTATTATTTTACCAAAACATGTAGCAATCTAAAAATAGCCACAAACTACTTAATCTTACGATTCTTGAGCAACTGTAAAATCTACAAATTAAATACAGGAAATCTTCATAGTCAATAGAATTTAAATTGATTTAATGGCATGCGCGATACTGAATTGAAGCAAAATCACTACTCTAAGCCTGAGCATGGATCTGCCTGCTAAGGTGCAGCTTCCTTTGCTTTCAATAGGCCTTTCTTACTATGCGAGACACATGATGACTCAGCCCTCACCACTTCTTTATTCAAATGACAGTGAAACTCTCCTTTATATACTTCCTGTGGAATTTTTTTGTGTGTGTGCCTGTGGTTTGTACAAACACACATGTATGTATGTATTAACCCTGCTTGTGATGTTGTCTCAGTATTTGGCAATCTACACTAATAAAAGAGAAACATGGTAATTGGCGTACGAGCTACCCTTCCCATTGGCTAATCAGCATATCCTTATGCAAATTAACTGTCAGCCAAGATGGAGGCACAGGCCGGGCTGAGGGACACCCCCCTTCCCCCCCGAGTGCACAAATTTTTGTGCACCGGGCCTCTAGTAGTTAATATAATACTATGGATTATCAACTTTTGATTGAAATATAAATGAAACGGTGAGAAATAAAATCTTGGGTGATACTTGATATAAGGTAGACACTCAGATGGTCCCAAAGTATGTTGTTACTTTTAAAAGACTGTCATAGAATGGTGCCAGGTGGGTACTGGAAATATCGAGGGAACATTTTGTAAAGTATAGGAGTGTCCAATCACTATGCTGTATACCTGAAACTAATACAAAATAATATTAAATGTAAATTATAATTGAAAAACAAAATAAAAGATAGTCATAGATATAAAGACATAAAATCCTCATTTCCTGCCTTGGACAGTGTGGCTCACTTGGTTGGAGCATTGTCCTGTTCACCAAAGAGTCGTCGGTTCAATTCCCTGTCACAGCACATACCCAGGTTGTGGGTTTGATCCCTAGTCGGGGCACGTACAGGAGGCAATGGATCGATGTTTCTCTCTCTCTTCCTCGCCCTTCCTCTCTCTAATATCAATAAAAACATATCCTCGGGTGAGGATTTAAATTTAAAAAAGAGACAGATATAAGAAATCCTAATTAAAACTGAGGTCAGCTGTGGTGGACACAGCTGTGCCTCCCAGGTCCCCTAAAGGAAGCATGTGGTGCCCCAGCTACCAGCAGACAGCCTCCAGCTTTCAGTTGCTTTAGGGTTTGGTTGGCTGCAGAGCTGCCTAGCCCAAGGGCACGTCCTTCCACTGGAGCCCACCTTCAAGGACTGATGCAGGCGGTGGTGCTGAAACCCAGCCATTCCTCCTGAACAGGGACAGCTCTGATGGGCCAGGTATGCTCCAAACTCCCTGTGGACTTGGCTGAGGCTCTGTTGGTCTGCACTGCAGTTCCACTTTGCCCTCCCAATCCTGCTTTCCTCCTCGCTCCCAGTAGCTGTGATCCCTAATAAATACCCTGCATGCCAAACCCCATCTCAGTGTCTGCTCCTGGAGAATCCAGGCAACCAAAGCTCCCAAGAATTCCTCTGAGGAACGCCCCCACCCACCCCACCCCGCCTCCGGAAGGAGTGAGAATTCCTTTTCTGCAGCCCTGATTGTTCTTGCAAGCTTCTTGTCTGAAAGTTCAGCTTCCAGTTGTATATTCCTGCCAGCACTTCAAATTCAACAGGCCCAAAGCTGATACAAAATGACCTAGTGGGCTCCTACCTCAGAACAACTTGTGGGTTTTTCCCCTCCTGTTTCATAATTTATATAATGGCACTACCCTCGTATTCTCACAAGATCAAAAGTTGGGAGGTATATTGATTCCTCACACACCTTGCTCCGCAAATCCAGTCTATTATTCATGCTCTTAACACAGCAAGGACCTTACTCATTTCTCCAGGGATTCCCTTCCCTCTAAACAAGGGATGCTGCTGAAATTATAATGAGAGCTTCACTTTGCTTTCAGAATATTTACTCTCTAACAGTTTCCCTTCTCTTCCCTTCGATACCATAGACAAAAATTGTGGGGTTTTTTTGTTTGTTTTTCATAAAGGACACACATAAAAAAATTATACCAACAATCACCCACTTATTTGAAAGCAGAGTATGTTGGCTCACATATTAAATAACAGAATAATGCTTTGAGAGGATGACAGCAAATGTCAAAGGCTTCACTTTCCTTCTGAAATTAAGATGAGTGCAGCAGTCAGTAAAACAAGACATTTATTTTGTCCCAACTTAAGATAAAATGGATTTGATTCTTTTTTTTATATTTCCTATTGAGCTAAAGAATAAGGAAAGCCAAGTCTTAATAAATGCCAAGGCAATAATTTTATAATATAGACACTAAAACATGTGTGAATGCCATGATGTGGTTAAGAAGTCTATGAAAATGTACATATTTTTTAAAGCAGTCAACTCATTGAAAGGTACTGATGTTTAAAACTGAAAGTTGAGTTGTCAGTTGAAAATGAGAAACTGAGATGTTCGTGAGAGAGACATTGTCAGGAAAGCAGTAGAACATTTCCTGGCCGTGCGTGCAGTCCTGCGGATTTGTCACGGCCATGACGAACCCCACGACCATCACCACAGCACCAATGGGGAGCATGACACAGGACATGATCTTATCGGAGTGTGTCCTCGGTTCTTCAGACAGTTTCAGATAACATGCTGATGGAATGATAAAAATTAGGGGAGCTGCACAAAGCACACCCTGCGTATTGACAATGAGAAACGAGATAATGTTATCGGATGGAACATTCCTTGGACAGTTTTTAAAAACATTTACAAAATGTATTTGTCACTGCACATGTTAAAAGTTAGATAGGTTTGGTTAACTCAAACAAAGGAAAGAAAAAAAAATCCCCAAATAAATTGAGAAATAGGGTTTTTCTTTTCTGGTGGCATATTTACAAACGAGAGAGTGAAATAAGAGTAAAAAAATATACATACAGTAGGTTAAAATATAATTCAGTAACATAAAATTATATTAAATAAGATAAAATAAAATTTTTAAGACTAGAAAAATAATCAGAAAATAAAAATGTTGGTAAAACTGACTTCTGGAAAACTTGAAATTTTTCATATTTTCATTATATCATAATACCTTATACAAATTATTTCGTATCTACTATGCCATTTAAATCTAAGAGATCTATTTGTCATTGTGTTTGAGAGGGAACTATTGAGTTGCATGTTGGGCATATCATCTTTCCTTTTTTACTTGAGTTTGTATAAAAGTAAGTGCCTATTTGAGAAAGAATAACTATAGCCCTAAGGGCACTCAACATGAAATTGTATTTCTAAATCATCTTTCAAGTAAAGTGAAACACATTAATTACCCTAGAAAATTGACAGTAGAACCTAAATGACTGTGACTCATTCGCCCTCCCCCACACTAGCTTATGGATAAGTCTAACCTGAGGGGAAATGTTGGTTTGAAAATTATGAGTAGTGTTTGTCTAGCATACAAATACCAGGAGTGTTTGACTTCAAAGGAAAAGAGACTTTCCCCTGGAGGAGGCCAAATTTGCACTGGAGACAGATTAATAGCAGGCAGACAGCTCTGGTTGAGGGGAGGGGTATTGGGATGGTGGAGGGATTAAGCAAAAAAGAAAAGAAGTGAGAGAACTCATGGACATTGGGGGGGAAAGGGGAGGGGAAGGGAAGGGAGATGCAAGAATGCATAGAGGGGATAAATCGTGATGGGGAAAAAATAAAATTAAAAATATAATGTTGCCCAGCTGCGGTGGCTCAGTAGTTGAGCATCAACCTATGAACCAGGAAGTCACTAGTTCCATTCCCGGTTAAGGCACATGCCCAGATTGCAGGCTTGATCCCCAGTAGTGGATGTGCAGGAGGCAGCTGAGCAATAATTCTTTCTCAACATTGATGTTTCTATCTCTCTCTCCTTCTCCCGTCCTCTCTGAAATCAATAAAATATATTTAAAAAATAAAATAAAAATATAATGTTAAAATTTAAGTCATTTTAATAGATTTACTAATTCTATTAAATGTTAATTACTATATATTAAACAAAATATGACACATATTAATTAAATATAATTATATAACAAACAATATTCTCTTAAGCCATAAAACACAAGTTGTTTTTTTTATAACATATACTCAATAGCAAATGTGACATGGGTTTAAGATTAAAATCAAGTTTCCATAAAATTCATGTTTTGCTATATTTGAAAAAGTTATGAAATTTGTAAATGTACAGAAACATAGAAAGATGAATACTAGTATAATGAAAACTTATACACCTATAACCTATGATCTAAAAGCTTCTTGACGACACAGTATTTGGGTAATTTTAAGTTTAAATATTTTTTCTAAAAAATTTTGAGCCCTAGCCAGTTTGGCTCAGTGGATAGAGTGACAGCCTGTGGACTAAAGGGTCCCATATTCAATTCAGGTGAAGGGCACATGCCAGGGTTGCAAGCTCGATCCCCAGTAGGGGGTGTGCAGGAGGCAGCCATTCAATGGTTCTCTGTCATCATTGATGTTTCTAATTCTCTCTCCCTCTCTCTTCCTTTCTGAAATCAATAAAAATATATTTAAAAAAAGATTTGAAAGCTTTTTGACACAACTGTAGTTATTTGGTAAAATCATAGAAAACTGATTTTGAAGTTGGATTATGTAAAACAACATTTTATACCCTAAAAATAGGTTTAAAGAAAATATTTTCTTCATATCACCATTTACTAAAATTACTGGGTTTTATAATAAGTACCATCCGCATACCAGAAATATTACAACTATGATTCCCAAAATATATTTAATTTTTTTTAACAAAAACAGCAAATGTACAGAAGAATGGGAATTAAGGAGGACAGGTTATAAAATCAGACTAGCCAGGCAGCATCTAAAAATCTGGGGATGAATAGGACTGACCACATTTCATGGAAAATATTTCTACAGTCAGAGATATAAGAATGACAAACTACTAAGAGGTACCAAATTGTATTCTAATTTAAAATATATGGACAATATAATTTTGCCATTCAAATGGATACCTATAAAGGTACACACTATACACATGATTAGTTTCCATACAGAATTGAATGAATGATGGATTCCTTGAGCTCTATAGTGACATTTGAAACTGACATTCTGTTTTAAATTATGGGAAATCCTGGATGACTTAGTCTGTGTTGATAATAACTATTTTTCAATATCTTGGAAATAATTTTGAAAACAACAAAAAGACAATTAACACACACACACACATATATATGTATGTATATGGAGAAAGTCTTTTCTCTTTATAGGAACAAGCTATAATTCATCTGGAATTGGGACTGTGGAAGTGCCATCAGGGTGAATACTGCCACCAGCTGCTGCTAAGAAGCTGTTGTCAGTTAGCATTCTGGGACTGTTCCAAACCTAACTTGCTGGGCAGTGCAAAGCATGGGTGTTCTGTTTATATTATAATTCTTAAGCATTGAAAAAGTAGCAATCCTATCTAATAAAAGACAAAAAGGGTAATTGACCTTACCTTCGCTACGCTTCCCATTGGCTAATCAGCGCCATATGCATATTGCAGGCAGGGCTGGCCAGCACCAGAGCCATCCGGGCCCTGTGTGTGTCCCTGGGTGGCCGGGCTTAGGTGGCGCGATCACGTCACCTAAGCCTCGCTCCAGCCGGAATGCCCGTGTGCCACCTAAGCCCCGTGTGCCTAAGCCCCGCCCCCAGCCGGGACCCCCATGTGCCGCCTAAGCCCCGCTGCCAGCTGGGACCCCATGGCGATCCCAGAGCAGGCAAGTGCAGAGGGCGGCGGCCCCCAGGTGGGCCTGCTCCTGGGATCACCATGGAGATCCCAGAGCAGGAAAGTTATGGGCCTGCTCCTGGGCAGCACCCAGCAGGGCAGCACCCAGCAGGGCCTGCCCCCGGTCTCTGCAGTGATCCAGTGATCCATGAGCAGGAAAGCACAGCCTGTAGGCAGCACCCCACCCTGGCCACAGCTCAAGGGAGAGAAAAACATGCAGTGGAGGCCAGGAGCCTGAGAGATCAACACAGAGGGGCACCTGCTCCAAGCCTCCACGGTGTGGCTGGGGGCAGGCCCCCAGCAGACACACACACTCACACACACACACACACACACACACACAGGACGCCTGCTCCGAGCCTCTGCTGCCAGACTGTGGCCGTCAGTAGGACATCCACTGAGGGCTCCCGGACTGTGAGAGGGGCAGGCTGGGCTGAGGGAACCCCACCCCCCAGTGCATGAATTTTGTGCACCGGGCCTCTAGTTAGACTATATAGCTGATGTTTGTACTGGAAGAAGTCCAGTTGGGCATCTTGTCTAGGTAGCCGTTACTTTATTAACATATGAAAGCCCAGTCTTGCTACAGGTTGTTGTGAGGACCCAAGATCAAGTGTAAAATGATCGAGCAGTCCCAGCTGCTGTACTTCTCATAAAGAAGTGCAGCTTATTTAATCTATTTAATATGGCCATGATTCAGAATACACCACTGGGTTTGGAATAATTTTTTGAAATTGCTTGATAGGACATAAAAATACCATAATTGTTTCTTAAAGAGATAATAAAATATAGCCTTATTTATAAACCCAGGACAGCATTTCCTTTGATAATAACACTGTTGATGCCAGGGCATTTTGCAGTCTGCTGTAGGGAAACAACAGAAGGTGTTAAAGATTTTTATTGGCAATACAGATGGGAAAAGTATCTGAATTCTCCTACCTGAATAGAAACCTCTCAAATGATGAAATGAAGCTGAAAACTAAATAAAAGAATGCTTTTAAATTTATACTTTGGACTCATGAAATGTATTCCTATATCTTAAGAACAAACTCTGGCTGGGGAGGGCTTTGATAGCTTGGACCGTGTCCTGCTCACCCTCGTGACTGGCGCTCTGCGTCTGGGCACTGGCTTACTTTTTCCCTCCCACGCTAAGCTGCACACAATGCTTGTTGAGCTGGTTACTCTGGCCACAGGCACCAGCTGCTTCATCTTTTCTGTTTGTGCTGCTGCAAGTGGGAAGCCCTAGGGCCCAATTAACACAGATGCCTCTTTTCTCCAATGGCAGCATCAGTGTGAGATGCTACCAAGAATGGGACTTATATTTATTTTATTTGCTTGCTTCTAAAATGAATCCTTTAAAACCAACAATGAGTTTGCTTTGGAAAAACTTGTCATTGTTGTCTATTGCCATGAAAACTATGAAATTACAGGGAAGCTAAGTTCTAAATGAGGTTTTGCTCTTTATTAAACAAATAATATAACACTGAATAATTTATCCAATTTTTTATTATACTGAGTAACAGCATTTCGATAACTTTACAAATTGAAGGTCTGATTCTATTGTACATCTCATCTGTGAAGATCATTATTCTACTTAGTGATGATTCAGAAGCCACAATAGAAAGTAATTCCTGAAGTATTACAATTATTAACTAAGATAAAATCTATTAGTTAAAAATTATTAGTTTAGATGAAAAGCTTTTAGTCCCATTTTATTTCATCTCATGGTATTCATTTTAAACCATTATTAAAATCTATCCTATATATTATGGATTACTCTTACTGGTAAACTCAATGCATAGATTTTTAACTTAAAAAATGAATAGAGAAATGAACATATTTATTTTACATAATTTAGAGCCCATGCTTTGGAAACCTCAGACTAGCATAATGATTAAAAATGTGGGCTTTAGGTCTGGAAACCTGTGTTCAAGTGTTGTAAACACAGTGACCTATTTAATCACTTTGAGCCTCGGTTTCTTCATCTGTAACATTAATGCAAATGAAGGAAAATAGTGCAAGCAAAATGCATGGCACAGAGTAAGTATACAATACATATTAGCTCACATTGTTGTTCTGAAGTGGAACACAGATGCTTTCATTACGTTTAGTGATATATGATCCAGCCTGCATTCGTTACTGACAGAAATGATGCCTGATGTGACTCTATTAAACATGACAAATGTCCACACCAAAGGGAGCTGAGTGAAGGCCTAAATATGTCATTGTGTGTACCAAAAGACTTTTCATTGGAAAAATATGCTCAGGTGGTCTGGAAGAGAAAGGAGATCTTAGATTTTATTAACATACCAAGTGCTTTAAAACTAGTATAACGGTTTATTGGATAATAATAGAAAATTTAGCACTCTTCTTTAGTTGTTTTTTTTTTAATGAATGTCTATATAACCAAGTTTTTAAAAATCTAAAGAACTACAAGCATGTTTTAAATTTTTTAAAAAAGTAGTCCCCTACAGCCAGCTCAGATCTTGACTTTATAATGGATACTCACTGAATATTTTTCTCTGATTACAATACCAGAATTCTGTCTGAACCACAAAAAATTTTCAACATAAGTACAATAGAGAATATTTAATGGATTGAATACTTAAAAAAGGAACCCTCATGCACTGCTGGTGGGAATGCAGACTGGTGCTGCCACTGTGGAGAACAGTATGAGTTTCCTCAAAAAACTAAAAATGGAACTCCCATTTGACCCAGTGATCCCACTTCTAGGACTATATCCCAAGAAACCAGAAACACCAATCAGAAAGGATATATGCACCCCTATGTTCATAGCAGCACACTTTA